TACTGTGGGGCAAACCAACTAAACACAATATATAAAGCATGCTATAAAGGCGAATGTATATATGTTTTATGTGCATAAATATATGGTTACTCGCAGTGTAACTGAGGCACCGAATAAGCGCCATAGTCCTCCGGCGTGTCCCGAATCTTCTCCGAGATGCTGTTACCCACGTAGTTACTAGGGAAAATACCGACCCGGTCCTCGATCATACCTGTCCACCACCCCTCATCCCCGGACACCAGCGAGTCCTTGGACAACACCTCTACCCGATCCCCCTTCCGCAGACTGAGCTCATCCTCGGCGGTAGTTTCGTAATCGAACACGGCGGTCCAGTATCCGGCTGCGGACGGGGTCGCCGCCGCCGCAGGACCAAACCCGAGGAGACGAGCTCCCGGCCGGGGCTCTGCGGCTTCAACGCCGTCTTTGCTGTCCGGGCCGCCGCTGCTGTTAAAGGAGAAACTGAAAGCATCCATGCTGCCGATCCATAAGGGCGACCCGGCCCGGTTCAGCTCCTCACCTGACGCAGAACTCAAGTCCGGGCGCAAAGCCGCAGCATAAGTAGCAATTAATCCGAGCAACCTCTCGCCTCAACGAGCTCCAGACCTGCCGCCCGCCTCATAAGGGACCGCTCCGGCTCGTTAAATAATCTTTTGGTCCCGAACATAAGGCACTTTTTGCTGTAATTGGCTACATTGTCCCGCACCCGTCATCCGCTCCTGAGCCAGCACTCACCCACTCCCAGCACATGATTGCAGTGGTTTAACGTGTTAACGAATTCCTGATTGCTGCGCTTTGATTGGCGCAGTGGCGCATCAATCACGTCACGCCTCTTTATAAGACCCGCCCACTAAATCTCTATAACAGCAAATGCGGGAGAACCATTTCAGCACCACGGGGCTGGACAGCGCGCGGGCGCACTACAGTAGAAAAACTTTTCTACGACTAAAGGGGTCATATGATGCGATTTCAAGTTTTCCTTTCTCTTTGGAGTGTTACAAGCTGATTGTGCATAGATAAGATCCCTGAAGTTGCAAAGACTAAAGTCTCAAAACCAAAGAGATATTCTTTATCAAAGTTAAGACTCTGCCACGCCCCCCTAAAACGGTTCGTTCTAACACGCCCCCACATATCTACCTCACTATGTGGAAATATTTGCATAATGCTGCCCAAATGTGCACGCAAAGAAAGAAGGCGTGGTTTCAGTAAAATAATGATCTTTAAAAAAGCATCATATGACCCCTTTAAACAGTTAAGACATAGGAAAAACGATATAGCTCCTCTGTATAGGTAAGACTGACCTTTTGTGACAGCATGCCCCAATCACATGCATGCTGTCACACTTTATAGGGCAAATTATGCTATTAAACAGCCTATTAGAGGCTTAAGTTAAAACAGGAAAATAATTATGAAAAATACAGTCTTTGCTAAGAAAGCTAAAGTGTGTGGTTAAAATTTACCTTAATTATATATTCAGTTACCTCAATTGTTACCCTACTAATATTGTAAGAATATGATTTTATGATAAAATAAGGTACATTTGTAACTGTCGTGACCATGTGGCACAATCTGATGGAAATACTTCGACCAGATAAAATTGATCACAACTGATATCAGATTTTCCAAATATTTTTTTTTATTTTTCTGTTGACCAAAAGAATTCAAAATAAATAAATCAGTGGACATAAATTAAGGTACATTTCATGCATAATTCCCTGAAAATAAAACATGATTTTTTTTTTGTGAGAAGAGTAAAAAACAAAACAAAAAATGAAAGAAAACAAACAACAATAGATGAATATAACCATTATTTGCTTCATCACCAGGCTGAAGAGGAGTGTGTTTGTGTGTGAGAGAGAGACTCAGACCCCTGATACATTTGTAAGACTTGTGTGACTTCAAGGTTATAAGTGACATCATCTGAAATCTCTTTTAAATCAGTTCACCTGCATCTAAACAGCTGGAAGTGTTAGCTGGCAGTAGAAAAGTTCAAAGCTGGTAGTTGCAGCTGACTTTCATGCTCAACCATCTTACTACATGAAGGCCCACTGAATATTCATAATAACCCTCCCCAGTCATCAGTAGTGTTTAGTTAACTCAAGTGAGCATGTGTGAGGGCATAGGTGTGTGTGATCTGATCCAGGCTGAGACAAAGTCCTAAACACTCTAAGTTTGAGCCCAACTCTGAGCGTGACCATAAGCCAAGTCAGCCAAACTGGAAAAGAAGGTTTATAAGACTGCTACTTTTTACCACAAACCATCTCAAAGATACACATGCACACATGTGCACAGATGTGGTGAAGATCTGCTCTACTTTAGCTGCCCACTGACTCACACCAGACACATTCAACAACACATGCTGGCAGAAAACAAGCGGCACGCTGAAAGTCGCAGTGCATTCAAGCTGAATACTGTGTAAATTATATTTCTCTTCATTTCCATATTTTTTTTATCATGCCTAATACTGGTGCACAGAACAGCTTATGAGGTGTGTGAGTGGCTGTGTTCCAAAGCCTTGTGAGCTGCCTTGCTGTCTACTGCCTACACAGGGAACACCAAAAGTGACTGATTTGGAACGCTTTACATTGACAGCAAATCATGTAAATTGTACTCCTTGGGAGTCTCGACTAACAAATGATTCAAAGGAGTTTGCTGTTATCATGTTGCTAAGCTAACAATGCAATCGCATACAAATACAGAGGAGGCTGTAAATGCAGTAAACAGTAATATTTTTAAATTATTACAATTTAAATTAACTTTTTCTATTTTAATATCATTCAAAATGTAATTTATTTCTGTGATGATAAAGCTGAATTTTAAGCAGCCATTACGCCAGTCTTCAGTGTCACATGATCTTTCAGAAATCATTCTAATATGCTGATTTGGTGCTCAACAAAAATGACATTGATAATAATAAGACATTTTTGGTGCTCAACAAAAATGTCTTATTATTATCAATGTCAAAAATAGTTGCGCTGCTTAATATTTTAGTGTAAAGCATTATACATTTTTTCCAGGATTCTTTGATGAATAGAAATTTTAAACAGCATTTATTTGTAACATTAATGGTCTTTACTGTCACTTTTGATCAATTGAAATAAATAATACATTTGTGAATAAATTAGCGTTAATTTATTTCAAAAACCATCAAACAAAATAAATCTTACTGACTTGTCTGAATGGTAGTATACATATAAATTACCTATTGAGTGGGGGGGGGGGGGGG